CGAGTCTATACATATCAAAATTACCAAAATCGGAGTCCATTTGACCCCTCAAATTCCACTTTGAAACACCAAATTCCCAAGTCCTAGCTTTACCCTCTTTTGATGAATTTCCACAAATTTCCACGTTAATTCTACCATAAAATCACGTATTTAGGTCAAGGAACTCACCTCCAATCACACCTAGTCGAAATCCCCTTCAATTTCCGTCCAAGAGCTCTCAAGGTCGATCAAAAATGGTGGAAATGAACTTAAGCTCGCGGAACAAAATGATTTTTAAAACCCTTCTCTGCACAGTGATTTTCGCATCTGCGGTTCCTTTACCGCATTTGCGGCTACCGCTTCTGCGGTTATGCCTCCGCTTCTGTGGATCTTCATTAAGTCCACGACCGCTCCTGCAGTCATCTCTCCGCATTTGCGGATCCCGCTTCTGCGGATACCTGTCAGCTTCTGCGGAAATACCAAGCACGCCAATTCGCTTCTGCGACTGATCTACCGCATTTGCGGCATCGCAGATGCGGCCCCCAAGCCCGCACCTGTGGAAACAGCAAACCTTCCAAGAACTTGCACCTGCATACCTTCCTTCCACACCTGCGCAACCGCATCTGCGGTTCCTTTTCCGCAGATGCGGAAATACCAGAAACCAGGCACACCAGCAATCACATAAGTCCAAATTTCATCCCGATGGCCATCAGAAATCACCCCGAGGCCCCCGGTACCTCAACCAAAAGTGCCAACCCATCCTAAAACATCATTCAAACTTGCTCCAATCATCAAAACACCGCAATTAACACCAAAACCCTAAAATTACATCGGATTCAAGCCTAAGTTCTTCCAAAACTTCCGAATTACGCATTTGATCAAAAACCCGACCAAAACACCTCCAAATGATCTAAAATTTTGTACACACATCCAAAATCACCTAACGAAGCTACATCAGCTCTCGGAATCACATTCCGACCCTCGGATCAAAATCTCACCTATCAACCGGAATTCGCCAAAATACTAACTTCGCCAATTCAAGCCTAATTCTACACTGGACCTCCAAAATCAATTTCAATCACACCCCTAAGTCACAAATCATCCCCTGAAACTAACCAAATCACCGGAAATCACATCCGAGCCCTCTAACTTACAAGTCAACATCCGGTTGACTTTTCTAATACAAACCTTCCTTAAAGAGGCTATGTGTCTCATTTCCATCCAAAACCAATCCAAATCGACTCATTCACTCAAGACTCTTATAATAAAACATAAGGAAGCAGAAAATAGGGGAAACGGGGTGGTAACTCATGTGACGACGGGCCGAGTCGTCACATTTCTTCTACTACACACTCTCCTTCACAAGTGCGACAAATATTTCAAAGAGGAAAATCGCAACATAACCAACATACCCAAATACTACAATACTTACCAAAACAATCACAATCACCAACCACACATCAACTATCACAGGTACCTCAACTGCAACCTAATCAAACTTCACCACTACCTAGACCACAAGTAATATGTCAAGAGCCCCGGATGATGAACAACCCACTTTTTCAACATGATAAAAAGGCACCTTGAATGAGTTGAACAACATCCAATAAGTTTTCAGTGACAAATATATGGGGGATAAATTGAACCAAGGGGAAGAGACCAAATGAGTTTGAGAATATCCTTGAAATTGCAAAGAGAAAAAGTAAAAATGAAAGACAAAAGAAAGAGAGAAGTGAGAGAGAGAAAAATGATAACTCTAGAGTAGAAAAAGGAGAGAAAGTGTGGAGTGAAGTGAGTGAGTTATCATAAGAAAAGAGTGAAGAGCTTGAAAAGAAAATGAGAGAAAAGAATGAGGGAAAACAAAAGAGAGTGAGGATTTTCCATATTCTAATGCTAATAACCTTTCTTCTTTCTCTAGTTGTTTTGTATCTTTGTGAATGAACTTTTGGAGATGATCCCTCAAGTAAAGTTCAATCTACTTTGAAGAGCTTGAAAGAAGATCAATCTACCTTTTCAAGAAAACTTATGGAATTAAATGAGCAAGTTCAAGGTAAAGAAAATACTTTAGAGGAGCTTCAAGGTAGAATAACTTATCCTTCTACTCTTGCTGCTTTAGTTGATTATGGTGACACTTTGAGTTTGAAAGATAGCTATGGCATTGATGAGTTTGATAATTCTGAGAAAAATAATTGTGGCATGCAACTAGTTAAGAGTTCTTGTATATTATTGGATGATTCAAGTTCTTGGTTTAATGACTCTTTAGCTAGTGATGATGTTGAGTCTTATGATAGCCGACCTTTATAGGATGATGAATGTAATGATTCTTTTGACTCTACTTTAACTTCGTTGGAAGAAAATTTTAACCTTTATAAAGAAATGAGTTAAGAAGAATGTGTTGATGATTTTTTTTTTAATTCTATTTTCATTCCTTTGAAAAAAGATTCAATTTTTATGGTGAAATGAGCAAAGGTGAGTGTGGGGATGCCTTCTTGGAGAGTAAACAAGTTACTTACAATGACATAAATATAGAAGAAGAAAACTATCATTTGTATTCCAATGAGTTGACTTCTCTTGTATTTGATCTTGATGACTCTTATGCATATTTTTATGATGATTTTGTTGCGTGTGAAAAGGAAAGTAAAGTTTTTTTACGCTAGAACTAGTATTAATTGCTTTACTTGTCTTACTCCTACTTTTGAAAAAATATTCTCGTTGGATTTTACTAATGCTTCTATGAGAAAAAGTACAAATGTTTCTTTTGGAGTTTTGAGTGACCATTTTTAGTAAAAAGAACCTAACTTTATTGATTATTTTCTGAAAGTTCAACAACAGAAAATTGTTAAGGGTAAAAAAAATCTTGAACTAACACTTTGGCATACTTTTTGTCAAGAGCTTTTTCTTTTGCCCAAAAGGAAGAATGGTATGTACGTTTGGCTTATACTTATCTTGTGTTTATCTAAGGCCATTGAGGTAAAGACTCTTAACACTGAGTATTGTGATATTCTTTATATGATGATTCATGATGATCTTGGCATATCTCTTAAGTTGTCATGTGAAGTTGTTGGAAAGTGTGTAGATATTTGGGGATTAAAAAATATGTTTGACCCTGGAGTTATTTCTTATCATGGTGAAGTGTCTTTCTTTGGATTAGAGAGTATGATTTTTATTGCTTCTTATGACACTTGGTTATACCATAATAGTGTGCACTTTGTTGATGATTTTACAAGATTGTGGTTTCGTTGGAAGCATGAAACTTTATATTCTCTTGATTCTTCACATGAGTATTATTTTTTTTATAGTCAAGTTTGTGTCATTTGTGTTGGAGATGTGTTCTTTATAGATTATGACACTTGGCTATATCATAAGAGTGTCACTTTTGAGTGCAAGATTGTGATCTTTGATCTTTTAGCTTGGACATATATCTCTTTGATTGTGATTGGCTTAGTATTCAGGTTTGTCCTTTTTTTTGGGTTTTGCAAGGTCCTAATGCGAAGACGAATTTCTTTCAAGGGGGAGGATGATACACGCCGAATGAGCATGCCTAACGTGGATGATTTCCAAGTCAACATCATAGCATTGGAGTGCTTTAAAAGAGTCGAGATCAAGAAGGCTATTTTGCTATTTAGGCTAGTCTTGTAATTTAGGTCTACTTAGCTTCCTTTACAGCTAAGGGTAGTTTTTTTTTATTTTGCCTAAATAGCACTCTAGTACAAATAGCTAAGCATTAGTGTATTTAGAGCTAGACTTGATGAATGATAAACTTGAATACATGAAAGTCTCATACTCTTTCCTTTTCTTTTAATTAATGCATTTATGAGTTTATGCCTTCAATTCCTTTATTGCTTTATTTATGCTTTCATTAGTATTAAATTATTCTTAGTTGGTGAGGAATTAGTAGTGAATGCTTAATTGCTTAATTACTTTATCAGGGTTTTCAAGAGTTGCCAATCTCTTGAGGGTTTTCTTAGCTTAGGGTTGCAATTAATTGAGTTCATAAAGGAAATTAGGCTTCATAGCTTAATTGGTTCTTGTTCTTCCAATCAATTGTAGGTCTAGCTCTTATTTTTTATTCCATGTATTTTTCTATATCCGTGTTTTTATTCATAGTACGTATCATTACCACATGGTATTTATACTCCTTTACTTGTTCCGACTTCTAAATGGATTAATATATGTGTTTTCATTCATAGTATGTTTCTCCACCACTAATATTTGTAGTGATAGATAGATTTTCAAAAATTGCTCGTTTTATTCCATGTTTGAAGACTAATGATGCATTACATATATTTGATTTATTTGTGAAGGAAGTAGTTAAATTACATGGCATACCTAAAATTCCGTTAATGATAGGTATGCTAAACTTTTAAGTCACTTTTGGAGAGTTCTTTGAGGAAAGTTGGGAACTAAATTATCATTTTCTACATATTGTCACCCACAAACTGATAGGCAAATGGAAGTAATTAGGATCTTAAGGAATATGTTGAGAGCTGTTTTAAAAGGAAAATTAACTTCTTAGGAAGAACATTTACCCATGGTAAATTTTTCCTACAATAGAACTATCCACTCTTGTACTAGTAAGTCTACTTTTGAAGTTATTTATGGATTTAATCCCCCTACCCCCTTGATTTGCTACCTTTTCCTACTAATGACATTGTGTAACGACCCAACCGGTTGTTTTGAGAATTTGTATTTCGTTCAGCTATTTGAAGACTTGAGTAGCTTCATATGATGTATTAAGACTTGTATGAATCGTCGATTTGGTTTTCAGGTGATTCGAGATTGATTCGGAAGAATGATTCTCCACTAGGAAGCTTTAAGTTGGAAGAGTTGACCAAGTTTAAATTTTGAGTACTGATCTCAGATTGGAGTTTTGAGGTTCCCGTTAGGTTTGGATGGTAATTTTAGACTTGGGCGTATGTCCATTTTTGCATTTGGATATTTCTAGAAGGTTTCGACACTATTTGGCGAAAGTTGGCAATTTGAAGGTTCGAAATGTTCATAAGTTTGACTGGGAGTTGACGATGATATCAGGTTCAGATTATGGTTCCGGGAATCGTGTACGCTTCAAGGCAGTTGAGGAGGCACGAGAAGAATTATCCGGCGCACGACCTCGAGTTAGCTGTGGTTGTCCACGCATTTAAGATATGGCGGCATTATTTATTTGGTGTTCATGTGAATGTCTTTACATATCATAAAACACTGCTGTATATATTCAAGCAAAAGGAGTTAAATTTGCGACAGAGGTGATGTCTAGAGTTATTAAAATATTACGACGTTACCATTCTCTACCATCCAGGGAAACCTAATGTTGAAGCTAATGCCTTAAGTCATTGGTCGATGGGTAACGTAGTGCATTTAGAGATAGAGAAAATGGAGTTATCTAGAGAGCTTCATCATGTGGCTTGTTTGGGGGTTTGGTTAGTAGATTCTGACGATGGTGGAGTTTTACTCCAGAACATTGCAGAATCATCTCTCATAGCTGAAGTAAAGGAAAGGTAGTACAAGGACCCAGAGTTGGTCAAGTTGAGAGAGCGAGTTCTGCACCAAAAGAAGCCGCTGTTAGAGCTTAGGTAAGATGGGGTTCTCAGATACAGGGGTCGTCTATGTATTCCATATGTAGCAGGGCTACGAGACATGATTATGTTAGAGGCACATATTCATCCTGGGTCGACAAAGATGTATCATCACATTTATGATGTATTCGTGGAATGATATGAAGAAGAACACTGCTGAGTTTGTAGCCCAATGTCCTAATTGTCGCAGGTAAAGGTAGAGCACCGGAAACCTACAGGGCTAATGCAGACTATAGATATCCTAACATGGAAATGGGAGGCGATAAAAATGGACTTCATCATTGGTTTGCCTCGTTCTCATCGTAAGTTCGATTCTATATGGGTGATAGTCGACATGATCACGAAATTAGCCCATTTCCTACCGGTCAAAACTATGTATTTTGCCAAAGATTATGCGAAGTTATATATTAAAGAGACAGTGAACTACACGGGGTACGATTATATATTATATCTGACCGAGGGGCCTAGTTTATAGCGCATTTCTAGAGTCATTTCAGAGAGGTCTAGGGACCCATGTGAATCTCAACATAATTTTCATCCACAGACTGATAGAAAGGCCGAGCGCACGGTTTAGAAGCTCGAGGATATGTTACGAGTATGTATGTTGGATATTAAAGGAAACTGGGATGATCATCTACCTCTTATCGAGTTTGAATATAATATCAATTACCACTCTAGTATTCAAATGGCTCCATACGAGTCTATGTATGGGCGTAAGTGCAGATCTCCTATAAGGTGGTTTAATGTTGAAGAATCTAGGTTACATGGATCAGAATTGGTTCGGAAGGCTGTAGAGAAGATAAACCTTATCTAGGAGCGACTGTTGATAGCTCAAAGTCATCAGATGTCATATTCTGGTATGTGCCGACGAGACTTAGAGTTTGCAGTTAATGACTGTATATTCTTAAAGGTTTCGCCTATGAAGGACGTGATGAGGTTTGGCAAGAAAGGCAAGCTTAGCCCACGGTATATTGGGTCATATAGGATTATTCGAAGAGTGGGACGAGTAGCTTACAAGTTAGAATCTCCTTCAAAATTAGAGCATGTCCATCCGATTTTCCACGTATCTATGATACGGAAGTGCATGGGGATCCTACTCGAGTGGTGCCCATTGATGATGTACAGATCACGAAGGACTTGTCATACCAGGAAGTTCTAGTTTTCATCCGAAATAAGGAGATAGCCAGCGTGAAGGTTTTATAGAAAAGCAGGAACATGGAAGAGATGATGTGGGAAGCGGAGGAAGAAATGAAGTCTAAATATGTAAGGCCCCGTAAAAATTTCGCTAAGGAATTTCAGGTTTTGTGGTGCCGAGTTAGGTTAAAGTGCTCAGTAGTAAAAAAAGAAATTATTTATCTTCACGGCTCGCAAGCTCTCCGTGACACGGGCTTTTTGGGTTGAAGAATGCACTGAGGAGTGGATGAAAAGTTTTGGCAGAAGAAGGCAATTCTGCGGTCTGTTTCGCGACCGCAGAGCCGTTTTGCGGGACGCATAATCATCGCAGAGTTGAGCAGAAACATTGTTGAATTTTGAGGGTTGTTTCGCGGTCCATTGTGCGATCGCATACTTGTTTCGTGGTCCGCACTTCTGTCGCAAAGTTAGGATAAGGAAATTTCGTTGGGCGATTCAGTGGCCCATTCTGTGGCCGCATAAGTAGTCTGCGAACCATAGACCTATCGCAGACCGGTCCAGTACAGCCCAGTTCCTGGGCATCATTTTTGCGGCCCATTTTGCGGGCCGAATACCTGTTATGCGGTCCATTTCGCAGATCTAAGTCGGAGGGTCCATTTTTCTATTTTTATAACCCGACCCCATTTTGATAAATAGCCTTTGGGGCTTAATTTGGGACGATTTTCTGGAGAGTTTAGAGAGTGGTAAGAGTGTTTTAGAGAGAGAAGGAGGGAACCTAACAGTCCAATCATCCAATCTTGCACAAATCTTAAAGAATCAAAGAAGCTAGCCACTAGATTATCATCTATCCGGGTAAGTCCTATGCCTAAGCTTTCATGCAAGGGGTTAAGAGTTCAAATATTTTGTGGCGTTGGAAATAGGCCATGCATGTGGCACTAGGTTGTAGTATGTGGAGTTAATGAACCATTTTGGTAGTTTCTTGTTGAAATTTGGTGAAGGAGGAAGGGATTACAATTTTAGAGTTTTGTAGTCTATTTTGCATGGTAGGTGTTTGACAAAATTCCTAGGAGAGTTACACCATGGGAATCCTCCTAGTTATTAACCGATTTTTGCTATGTTCCTATGAATTGTTATTTCTAGAAGTGTTGAGGCGTTGTAGTAACTTAAGAAAAGCTCAAACAAGGTATGTTGGCTAGACTTTCTCTCTCAGAGTCGAATTCGATAATGTTTCCATAAGTTCAAGTATGGTTGGATCAGAATTCCTAATTTCTATATTCCAGGTTATCCCCTATAAACTTGATTATGCCGAATGAGCCTTATGTCGAAAGATAGATGGTCAAGGTATGGTTTGCATATTAAAATGGCATGCCTTTGAGTCGTGTTTTAAATGAAAACTAGTATACCAATTGGGTGAGAAAAACTCGATATGCTCAAGACTCCTAATTAGTCATATGTGTACCTAAATTCTTGATTGAAAATGTATTGTTGTTGGTAATCTATTATTGCTGTTGGTAATCTATAAAGATGCTTGAAAATGAAATAAGTGAATTGGGGGATATAGTGGGTGGCCTACGTGCCAAGAATCTAAGTTATAATTGTGACTAGTTATGCCAATGAAATGAGAAAGACTATGAAATGAGCCTCGACTCAACTGTTTTTAAATGACTTCTAAAGTAGAATTTGCCTAGAAGCTCTTGTACTCAATGTATGCCCATAAGTGGTTGTTTTAACTGATGCCCTGCCTTATAAATACATCCATTGTGATTCGAGTTCTTACATACTCCGATATTGAAATTGTACATTGTCGTTGTTGGGAAAGAGTATTTCATGAATAATTGGTGTATTGCTTGTTTATGACTTTGATGTATGTTTCTATTGCTGGTTGGTATGCCTCATTCTTTGAGATGAACCCTTTTGTGTTTAAAGTTTCCATTACTAATGAACTTGATGTATATGATTTCTGAAATATTCTATATGTTGGTATTTGGTGGTGATCCTTGAAATTAAAAGAAGTGAAAGTGTTGAATATGAAATACGGCCATCGTGCCATGAATAAAGAATCTTGTGAATGGCCAAAGGAGCCAAGAAAATAGTGTTATTGTGGGTGGTTGAAAATTATAATGAAGATCTATACAATGCGAAAGATTCTGAGATAAATACATTTCTATTTATGTTACCTTTGTGTGCAAATCAAATCAAAAATGTTTTTGGTAGTATCATTAGCAAAACCGAGGAAGGGTGGGTCATAAGGCCCACACCTGAAACTACACTTGCCGGTGTAGGGGTGGATTGTGATTTTTCCCCTCATTTGGGATGAAATTGAAATATTGATGAAATTATAATTATTTCCCTCAATTGGAATGAAACTGGACCTGTGAAGTGGAAAAGTCAACTCACACGGCATATGTGGGAAGGCGGCCTAGCAGATCTGGTGGAGATCGGACGCCATGTTGCGCACATGGTGGTACTACTCTTGTAACAACTTTCTTTCGCATCACATGTCAAACCACATTATTCGTGGGGAGATGGCCTAGCTGATCGGGCGTGATCGGACTCTGTGCTAACAAAGACGGTGGTATATTGGTGCTAATGATCTCCCAATCAAAAATATATATTATTTTCGTATTTTGAAAATTTTATGTTTCAATTGGGCATTTGAATATTTTTGATTGTGACTTGATGTTTCTGTGGTTTTCCTTTCTTATATGGTCATTCTATTTTGAAAGAGGACTTTTAGCTATACATACTAGTACTATTCGATGGTACTAACGTCTCTTTTGCTAGGGGTGTTGCATCTTTAATGGACGCAGGTGATTCCTCAGCTGGCAGCATTGATCAGTAATAGCGGTACACTCTCTTCAGCTGACTTGGTGAGCCCCACTTCATTTCGGGGTCATGTATCTTTTGTTTCTCATGTATTTGAGGTATAGCCGGGGCCTTGTTGCTGGCATTTCCATATTACCCTTCAGTTGTACTTAGAGGATTCGTAGACAGATTATGGGTGGTGTTTGATGTTGGGGATTGGACTAGAAATGTTGGTATTTGGCAAACATATTTTTCATTAAATCTATAAACTTGTAATATTTTTAAAATTATGACTGAAGCTACTAACGGAAATGAAATGGAAGTTGCTAATGAAAACTTCTTAGTGTTTGATTAGTGGAGTACATCTCCTCTTTATTTATGGATGAGTTTAGCTAGAAGGAAATCTAACGGGCTTGCTCAGTTGGGTCCACTAGGTTGAGCGCCGGTCGCGCTCCCTGAGTTTGGGGCGTGACAAAATATGCCCACTTATTTCAAACTAAAGATATGACTCAAGATGGATATTACAGCATAGCTCAGTTCAAACCAGTAGGTTGTGAGGTGAGCTCTTATTTTTGACTTGCAGCACTTATGATTGCCGACCTTGTGAGGACAAGTGTTGCTATTTATAGATATGGCCCTGTGTGGCACGTGTATTGTGTTTTCTGGCTGCGTGCAAGTTGGGCTAAGTCCAGTTTACAGAGGAGACACTGCGAATTGTTTTCAAGTCTCTAAGAGTTAACATTCGAGGACGAATGTTCTTAAGGGGAGAAGGATGTTACACCCCTTACTTTCATGTTAGAATGCGTCTTAATTGAATCAATATGAGCCGAAAAGTGTAAGGAACCTTATGAAGATAATGATGGGCTAAAAGGAGTGTTAAGGAAGTATCATAAGGGTTGGAGTCAAAGATGTTATAACCCGTACTTATGGGGTAAGACTAGGAGTACTTAATATTCTATGGAGTTTGTGTTTAAGGTAATTAAATCATATTATATTCGTATGTTAAATTTTAAAGTCAAACAAGTTGTAAAGTAAGAGTCGGAAAAAGTTATTGCAAGTTACGTTCATAATTTTACTAAATTTGGGTCTAATGTCACTGAGCTTTTCTTCCAATATACTTGTAGTTACGGGTTTAGTTTCCAACACATTAAACCGTTCATCGATACAAAATCAGAGTAGAGATGTTCGTATTTTCGCGAGATTGCGCATGCAGCCCCTAAGGAACCCACTTAGGCGGTGGCCAGCCTTTTATGTTTTAAACTAGTCAATTTGTCCGCACTTTGCGCGGTCACAAAAAAATATTGAATTTAATATATGATCTTGTAGTTAATTTGGTCGAGATATGAGAGATAAATTTTGTGTATGTGCATATACAAATATTTATATTTACTCTGACACCATAACTTTCTATGTCAACAATTCTCAAATTTATTTCATTCAAATCATAAAAGTAGAAAAATGATTATTGATAATCATTGATCATGCACTTCACAGATCCCTAATGCATAACATACGTGGTCTTTGGAGCTCTTCCCACCAAGCATGATATGAAGGTAAATCCATGTTCATAGATTTTGATAGATATGCAACAATCCTATAAAGGCTTGAACTGAAGCCATTGTGAACTTCGAAGCCCGCAAAAAGAAATCTAATTCAATTATCCTAAATCACTTACTCAAACTAAATAAAGTACTCATCAAAGTAAAGTTCTTATCACCCGCAACCTACTTGATAAATGAAAGACCAATACATAACTTCAAAGGAAACGAAAGGGAAAAAAAAGGACAAATAATTAACACATGAAGTCACTTGATAACCTGCGGTTGTATCATGTATTTAACAAAATTAACTTCTCCTTATCCTTACTTTCAAATTCTAAATTTGTTTGGCTATCAAGACTCGCTTGAAAATAGTTTTTTCTTGCCGGGAATTTTTCTTGAAAATAACTGTTAGTTATGGAGGGAAAAAAAAGAAAGAAAATTAACGAAATTAACTTTTTCCGACCATTACTTTTCAATGTTATGGTTAGTTCTACAAAGAAATGTCATTGCATCTCATAAACTAATGCAAACCATAGAGCAATGTGTCAATAATAAACTTTCCTTTAGTATTGTAGCCACTAAGCGCAACTCGAGTAAACCATAACAGGTTTTCCGGACATCCTAAGTGTCTCTTTCTAAACCTGGGTATAAAGGGAAATAGAGTCACCTCTTAGCTTGAATGTTAAAAGTAAAATTTATTCATTACTTGCAGAAGAAAATGTTAGTTCTATTCACTTTATTTGGGTTTTTCATGGCATACCTCTGTTCTTCCTCCTCTTTTTTTTTCCCTTTAGTTTCCCCCTTCTGTTTTGCAGGTATTCATTACTGGATCAGAGCGTGCGACGGATGTCAAAATCGGTTGGAGGCAGCGGGAAATTTAAGGTTACTACGGCAGGACGACCTTGACATTTATGACGATTCACCTAGGTTTCGCACTAATCGGGAGTTGGTACCTCCTGTTCTTTGTTTAATATTTCTGTCTTCCCTTGTTAGTATCCAATTAGTTTGTGTTAGTTTAAGCCTGATTCTTGATTGACTATAATTATTTAGTGCATCTGCCTGGATATTTTTCTGTCTGTTTTAGCGACAGTTCTAGCGTAATTTCTATAGATTATAGTGGATGGGGTGAGTGATGGTGGAATAAGGTCATGTCCTCGGGTGGGGGAGGGGTAAAAGTGGTANGGGGGGGAGGGCAAAGGGGGCAAGGGAGTCTCTAGGCTGAGAGTGGGGTCCTGGAACATAGGAACTTTAACGGGAAAGTCTATAGAGTTGGTGAAGATCCTCCAGAAGAGGAAGATCCACATAGCTTGTGTCCACGAGACTAGATGGGTGGGTTTGAAGGCCCGAGATGCTGATGGGTTTAAATTGTGGGTCTCAGGACGCGAGAGAGGTAAGAATAGGGTAGGTATCTTGGTTGACATGGATCTTAGGGAGCTAGTGTTAGAAGTTAGGTGGTTGAACAACAGGCTGATGGCTATTAAGCTGGTTGTGGGAGGGTCTACTTTAAATGTGATTAGTGCTTACGCGCCTCAAGTGGGTTTGGACGAGGAGATTAAGAGGCGCTTCTGGGAAGAATTTTATGGGTTGGTACATGGCATTCCGCTCATCGAGAATTTATTCATAGGAGGGGACTTCAATGGTCATATTGGAGCGATATCTGGGGGGTATGACGGCTTGCATGGTAGCTTTGGCTTTGGAGTTAGGAATGGAGGAGGTACTTTGTTGTTGGATTGTACTTTAGCCTTTGATTTGGTGATTGCCAACTCGTATTTTCTAAAAAGGGAGGAGCACTTGCTTACATTCCGGAGTCGTTGGCCGAGACTCAAATTGATTATCTACTCCTCCGGAAGTACGATAGGAGTCTCTGCATGGATTGCAAGGTTATAACAAGTGAGAATCTCACGACTCAGCATAGATTATTGGTGATGGACTTAGAGATTTCAAGGAAAAGGAGGAAGAGGTTCGTTTATGGTCATCAGGTGGGGTGCTTTGACTAGTGACATAGCACAGGAGTTGCGGGGAAAGTTGTTGGCTATGGGAGTAGTGGGGACGCGAGCTGTATGTGGACCACGACAGTGAAGTGTATTAGAGTAGCTGCGAGAGAAGTGTTAGGGGTCTTGAAGGGTTTATCTGGCAGCCACAAAGGTGACTGGTGGTGGGGTGAGGAGGTACAAGAGAAAGTGGCAGCACGGCAAACGGCGTACTTGACGCTTATAGAGAGCATGGATGAGGAGGCGAAGAGGGTGAACATGGAGGGGTATAGGAGGGCTAAGAAGGAGGCAAAGTTAGCGGTTACAACAACTAAGACTACAACATTTGGGTGTTTGTATGAAGAGCTTGGGGCCAAAGGCGGGGACAAGAAGTTATACAGGCTAGCCAAGGTGAGAGAGATGAAGGCCCGTGATCTGGATCAAGTTAAGTGTATCAAAGATGAGGAAGGTAGAGTCTTGATTGAAGAGGCTCAGATTAGAAAAAGATGGCAGACATATTTCCATAAACTCCTAAAAGAAGAGGGTGATAGGGACTTTGTGTTGGGCGACTTGGAGCACTTCGAGATGCGCAGGGATTTCAAGTATTGTAGGCGCATAAGAGAATAGGAGATCGAGGGAGCTATGTGTAAGATGCAGAGGGGTAGAGCTACCGTGCTAGATCAAATACCTGTGGAATTTTGGAAAAATGCGGGTAAGGCAGGTTTGGAGTGGCTCATTAGGCAGTTCAACGTCATTTTTAGGACGAAGAAGATGCCCGATGAATAGAGGTGAAGTACGATGATTCCTCTGTATAAAAACAAGGGTGATATCCAATATTGCAGTAATTATAGGGGGATTAAGCTGCTAAGCCCACTATTAATGTTTGGAGAGGGTGATTGAAGTAAGGGTGATGACCAGTGTGTCCATTTCTGAAAACCAGTTCGTATTCATGTCGGGGCGTTCGATTATGGAAGCCATTCACATTGTGAGGATATTAGTGGAGCGGTATATGGAGATGAAGAAGGACTTGCACATGGTGTTCATCGACCTAGAGAAAGCATATGACAAAGTCCCAAGAGAGGTGCTCTGGCGATGCTTGGAGGCTAAACGGGTCCCAGTAGCATACATTAGGATGATTAAGGACATGTATGATGAAGCTAAGACTCGGGTTAGGGCAACGGGAGGAGACGCGGAACACTTTCCGATTATGATGAGGTTTCACTAGGGATCAGCTCTTAGTCCATTTTTATTTTCCTTGGCGATGGACGCATTGACGAGACACATTCAAGGTGAGGTGCCATGGTATATGTTATTTGCTAATGACATAGTTTTAATTGACGAGACACGGGGTGGTTTTAACGAGAGGATGGAGGTTTGGAGGCAGACCCTAAAGTCTAAGGGTTTCAAGTTGAGTAGGACCAAGATGGAATACTTGGAGTGCAAGTTCAACTATGGTACAAAGGAAGAGGATATGGTGGTAAGGCTTGATACGCAAGTCATCCCCAAGAGAGGTAGTTTCAAGTATCTTGGAGTTATAATACAAGGTAACGGGGAGATTGATGTAGATTTCACGCATCGTATTGGAGTAGGATGGACGAAGAGGACGCTCGCTTCCGGTGCTTGTGTGATAAGAGTGTGCCGCTGCGACTTAAAGATAAGTTCTACAAGGTTGTAGTTAGACCGACCATATTGTATGGAGTAGAGTGTTGGCCGATCAAGAACTCTCATACCCAGAATCTACAAGTAGCTGAGATGAGGAGGTTGAGGTGGATGTGTGGGCATACCCGGTTGGATAAGATTAGGAATGAAGTTATTCACGAAAAGGTAGGAATGGCCCTCTGGAGAATAAGATGCGGGAGGCGAGGTTGAGATGGTTCGGGCATGTTAAGAGGAGAAGTATAGAAGCCCTAGTTAGAAGGTGCGGGCGGTTAGCCTCGGTGGGTAGCAGGAGGGGTAGGGGTAGGCCTAATATGTCTTGGGGAGAGGTTATTAGGCGGAACATGGCGTAGCTGGAGCAGACTGAGGACATGGCCCTAGACAGGAAGGTGTTGAGGTCAAAGATTAGGGTAGAAGGTTCGTAGGTAGTCGAGCGTTTCTCTTTGTCTTACTCAGTTTGCTAGTATTAGTGTTAGTATGATATCTTTTATCCATAGATGGCTATTCCTACCTAGAGTTTGACTGCATTCTTGGATTCAATCTTATTTCATCTTACTATTATTCCTACTTGTTGCAATTACCTTTTCTTTTTTAGTTGTTCTCTAGCCGAGGGTCTATCAGAAACATCCTCTCTGCCCTTCCAGGGGTAGGGGTAAGTACCCTTCCCAAACCCCACTTGTGAAAAACTACTGGATTTTATTATTGTTGTTGTTGTTGTATTTTACATTATTTGTTCCTTCATTCAAAATTGTTCACCAAAAGCAGTTATAAGATCGTAGGAGCATTTTAGACATCAGGAAGTAGCCATGAATACTTACTCTAAGCATGTCTTCCGATTCTCTTTGTTCATCCAATTCCTAAAACCTGACGATCCACATCATTATACTTGCAGGTGTTGTTTGCCTTACAATTATAAGTGTAAACAAATAATCCATGATTTTTTAATCATAAATCATGAGTGTTCTTTGTTAGAGAAACGGTAAGTTCCTCTTCAGAATCAAATAATTGTTGGACAGTAAGTCATGGCTAATCATGAACTCATCGGACTTTCATTATCATGCCCAACTGGTCCATTTAAGCTAAACGACCAGATTTGACTTCCTTTTTGCAGAGTTATTCATTTATTTTATATTAATGATTTTCCCATGTTCTTCTTCACAGGGATCCAATTTTTCAAGAATACATTTACATATACGTAACATCTAAGAGGTTAGTAATGAATCAAAAAATATGATAATATTTCATGCTTCTTTCCAAAGAGATAACCTTTTACCTTATGAAGAAAATATTAAGTTATCAATTTGAATTATGGACTAATAATGAGTAAATCTTATATGCAGGAATTAATTTAAAAATCACAAACAATTATGAAAAACAAACTGCATGTAGTCGATTAGTGAAACATTCAAAATCGATTTTGATGATGCATGGAGATAACCTTTTAGGAAGTGGAAAATGTAGCAAGTTCGCCAACATAGATTAATGGCGATGACTGTAGCCATTTTGTGCAATAAGAAATCAATTCTATGTATAAAAGCCAATTGTTGTTCTTGTTGTGCTAATTTATTTTAGTAATCCCGTCTAATTATATAAAAACAAAAATTGCTCAAAGTAGTTGATACTAAGAAGATTGCAAACTATACAAGATATAGAAAATAATAGCAGATAATAGTAAGGACATGTATTGAGAAGAGGTCCATCCAAAGTAAAGCATGTAGTGATGGCATTTAAGAAGAGGAAAGGCCAAAAACATAGGCAGCCCCTTAAAGTTGGCTCTAATTTTCATTTAGACACTTCAACTAGGACCTGTATTGGCCAAAATCTGACCGCTGCGGTCGGCCTAACCGAGATCCCGTCCAAGCGACGAGATAGTGGAAGACGACATGGTTTGCTCCAAAACCACTCACAATACCCGCCATGACAAAGAACGATACTCAGGGAACGACGAAAGCGGACGTGGTGTGAAAGCGTATTGACCCAAGAACATAGTGAGGATTCCATAACTATATATAGGGAGGAAATCTTCCGTTGAGGGGGTCATTTTCTCTCTTTTTCCTCTCCTCTGTAATCTTCTTAGCAAAAGGAAGACAAAGTCATCTTCCATGGAAGATGAAAAGCAGTCATCTCCGTCGATTAACAAAAGAAGAAATGAAAAACATCAACAAGATTGATCACTCCTATTTCATCTTATGCATTATTTTCTGATTTGTTTATGGATCTGGAGGTTATTATGTTTGACTAAGATTTACCTCTTCATCTTTGTTAATTGATTTAATCGCAAACGTTTCGATAACTTTTGGTAAAACAATTTGGCGCCGTCTGTGGGGATTTCTTAGTGAAAACTTCCTAGTCTCCTCCGGATCAAAAACCGAAAACATGATCACCCATCGATAAGAACGGTATGTAAATATCACACGCCAACCTAGATCATGTAGCACCTCCGTTACTCCCTCTAGATAGGAGGTGGGTTCTCCAGCGTGGAAACTACCGAGCCATTGATGCTCATCATAATCTCCCCCTTGTCATGGATGTCTTGGATATGCTAGAGGCCACAGAGGTAAATATGTACCTAAACTTACTTGTTATAAATTCACTTGTGTTGTGCATACTCACTTTTATGTTATTATTTGATAGTCCATCTGCATGCCATACAACGACGACTTGATAGCTGGCCTGCCCGATTATTTCTCGGTCGGCCGACTGATTTGGAGCACTTCCGTTCCGCTGATGTGCCTCGATATTGTTGAGCATCATGCCATCTAGCGGGCACTTCACCAGTTTGACTGTCCGCAGACTACGCCGAGGGAGCCTACATGGGAGGCTACACATTATCAGCGGGATAATCGTTCGAGGGCGGACGACGCATTTCTAGCATGGCTAGAGGCGCAGGTCCATACTTGGGAGCATCGAGAGGACCTGATTCCGCCACCACCTTCACAGATCCAGGCGGCGTCTATTGAGATTTATACGTCCTGATACTGCCGTCACACTTGACTGATGATCGGGAACCCTGTTCATCAAGCTGGCGGTCGGTACAGACCATACGCAGGGAGCCACGAGGCACTGGTATGTTTTTTTTGGAACCCATACTTATAACTATGATATAGCATTATGTAATTAATATTTTAAATGTTGTGCATGCTATTGGTCATCATTTGTTCTAACAGTTGGGACTGCAGATGCAGCAGCATGCCGACAATCCTGTAGTCGCCGAGTATGCCCGGCAGGTGGTAGAGCTGGCTCTCCGGACACTGCAGCGAGCCAGAGAGGACAAGAGGCTGGATCACGCTGCTGAGTATGTGGCACCAGAGCAGCACCATCGGGGTAGGCCTATCGCACGAGGCAGGGGTCGGGCACGAGCCAAGGCTGCCCCACGAGGCAGGGGTGCCCCACGGGGTCATGGGGGACGGCGAGGAGGTGGTCCCAAGCAAGGGGGCATTGAGGCACCTGTTGCACCACCTTATGAGGCACCTGATGAGGATCTTGGAGATGATTAGCCGGGTTACATCCCTCAGCAAGACGAGCCTTCCAGCAGCATGCCGTCGTACAGCCTTTAGCTAGAGCTGCCAGCAGCGCAGGTCACCCCGTCAGATCCATTGTTGATCACGGGTACATTCGACGAAGATTTAGAGCAGTTCTTTTCAGGCCCATCTACCGCTGTTGAGGATCGGCCGACCCAAGACGTGGATGGTGGTCACAGGTTGAGTTTGGCTCATCCCCGGCTGTTGCAGCGGATCTATCACAGGCGCAGGTATTTTGTATTACTATTAAATTTTAATTTGTTTTTTTTTCCTTAATGATTTGCCATAACTTAATTTTAAATTTTCTTATTAAGGCTTCGTCTCAACCTATTACGGAGCCCACTTTATGCGATTATGAGGGCACCACGGATTCTTATATTCAGGAGCCCGACGAGACCATGGTAAGAAAATGTTTTTGACTTAACACGTACATTACTAATATACAGTTTC